AACAGCCTGTTGTGGGGCCGGTCCCCCCGCGTGCGGCACAACACCGACATCGACTTGCGGCTACGGCTGCACACCAGGGGACCGCGACCAGGCATGTCGGGGGATGGAGGGAGCGAGGAATGGAGGGAGCGAGGGAGGTAAGTCAGTCCTCGAGTCGCCGCGTGGACCCAAGTCGTGCACAACAACGAAACGTTGTATAACCAGGGTGCGATCGGCCGGCTCTCTCTCTCCTGATGGACATCGGCGGCGATATAAATGTGGCACCAGTAACTAACTGCTCAAGAAATGAGCCAGCATTGCTTTGGGGGGGGAGCGTGCATCCTAAGAAACTTTTAAAAATAATTCATGAACATGCTCCCAATCCATGTATGTAACCGTGGACAACACCAGTTGTTGGGGGAAGGCGAGGGGGGGGGGCGTTGGTCTTGTGTTGGCATTGGCACCACCACACCACCACTACCATTACCATTCCACACGCGAAGGGCGGGCCCGCAGTGCCGCCACGAGCTCCCGCGATTTCGCCGGCACAACCGACAGGGGGCACCCCGGCCCCCACCCAGAGCATGAAAACACCCGGTAAATATTATGTCCCGTTCGTTTTACCCGACAATTTCTAGAGTATCGTGAAAACGGGGGAGCACTCCGCCGGCACAGCCGGCCGAGAACAAGCCTACCACAACAACTCACTAACTAACACTGCTGTATGCGAGCTATATACCCACACCTGCCGCCGGATCCTAACATATGAACTTGAAAAAAGACGCGACCTCCGGGTTGGCAGTTCGCTCACTTGAACTCTAGGGTGGCGAGCTTGTCGTACTTGGCCGCCCAGAACGAGCAGAACTGGCTGGCGGCGACGGACTTGTCGGAGCTCTGAGCAATACCTGGAGACAGAAGCGAGGGATTCAACCACATACACACAATAAAAAAAATGGCGACGACAGATAAGACACGTTAGGAATACAACCGGGAAAACGCAATACCCGAAGAGGGAGAGCACAAAAGCAAAAAAAATGCAAAGTGAGACAGCAACAATAAGCGAAAAAGAAGTGACAGCTAGGACTAGAGAAAAGACGTTTAGACAGCAGTGAGACCAACGAGGCCAGCGCAACAATACAGGGCTTTGACAGAGGGAGTGGGAGTCTTGACGCCACGATGACAATGAATGTGCTAACGGGCATGTACTCGCGTTGCTTGCCCCCTCAAGGTATCTGCTGCCTGACGTTCCGAGCCGAGCGCAAGTGTCAAGTGCACAACCTTTCGGGGTATTTTTTCCTTTTCGTGCACACGGAACCAAGGAAGTAAATGGGGTGCTGCAATCGTATTGATGCAGTTGCCACGTCTCTCGATATGGAGCACGCTGATGAACGGTACGGGGACCTACAACGGATATTCGCGAGCGTGTTCTCTCGACACACACAAGAGAGCAGGGAGTCAGGCAGAGATAGACAGAGGAAAAATAACAGAAAATGGTGGTATGCGCACACCACACGCACAAGCACTTAAACCGTGCGCACAAAAACCAAAAACACACTCTGCAGCTTATCCACACAGCTGGCATTCGATCCACCCCTCTCTCCGTCCTCTCACCAGGCACTCCGAGCTTCTCGACGAGGACACTCAGGGCGGCTTCCGTGGGCTCCCCGATCCTGCCGTAAGCACCCTCTTCAGCGTCAAACACGATCTGAGCGTCGTTGCATACCGCGCACACCTGACTCGCGCCAACCCCCAAAACAAAAAAAGGCGAAAAAAAAGGGAAAAAAAGGAAAAAAATGTGAAACGAGATCACAAAAATGCTTGTTTCCGAACGTTGAAGAGGTATCGGGGGCGGAATAAGGCGGGTAACCTCTCTCGGCACCTCCTAGAAAAAATCAAGTTTTTCAAAAGGGCGGGTGCCCGCTATAGGGCGGGTGAATCGGCTAGGAACATGCTTCGAAGCTTCGAAGTACAATCGTCCCTAAAGGTGGGACTCCGATGATACTCATTGACACAAGTCTGGGGTCTGGGCGTCTTCTGCTCTGCGCACCAAAATTTCTCAAGACTTCCTCCGAAGCCTTCTACACTCCAAGAGGCAGGATTGCACCCCCACAGCAACACACCTCCGCCCGTCCGTACACACACCCGTCTTGCAAAACACACCACACGAACCGCCAAAACAACAACACCCGGTTGATCGATCGATCATCTACATCGAACTCACAGCAGCTGCGAGGCCCCGCACGGAGGGAGAATTTGCATCACCGCTGCCAGGTCCCCACGGATGGAGCATCTACTTCACTATATTTACATCACAGCTGCGAGGTCTCGCATGGATGGATCTACTACTCAAGTATCTAATTCACCGTTACGAGGAGGGCGTCAACAAATGCCGGTTGATTAGCGCCAGATGCCCTAAATAGAGCCGGTGAAAATGCGGGGCACAGATTGAATCACCAAGTCATTTGAGTACTTGGAATAGCGCCGGTCCCTCCGCATCGCGCCGGGCACATGTGTACCGGTGTGTTATCGAGGGCCCCCCACTGCATATCCAAACTCACCGTTGCCAAGTCCCGCATCCCTCCGTGCTCCATGGCGTCGTCCGCGAGACCCTCCACCTTGCCCACCGGCTCGTAGGATACCCCCGCCGCCGACATCTCGGCCAGCCGCGGGTGCCCCTTCTCGTCGACCGCCACCTTGTAGCCACAACAAAAACAGCAGTCGAGACGGTTTTAGCGCACGTGGGGAAAGCACGAAGACTCCATTCAACACATCGCCTTCGAGGGACTGTGGGTATCGAGTACATCGAACGGTTATTTTTTCTGTGTCGATTGAAACGCACATAACGCACGTCAGGAAAGCAAAGACTTCATGCGACACATGGCCTTAGACTGCTGTGGTTGTATCTCGGAGGGGTACTCTCTTCTGTGATTATTGCATATTTCGGAAGAGAAAGAGGACAATGTTAGAGCAACAGGGAGCGCAGGGCGAGGGGGGGGGGGAACCGGGCAGAAGGAGTCGCAAGACGAGAAAAGTAAGGTAGGAGGGAGAGCTGTCAATTTTTCAACGCGACTACATAGGGGTCAGCGCTTCCCTCCCGTAGGCCTGCTCACGAACAATCACTGCCTCCTGCTACAGCATAATTAGGCGCGACGCGCGGAAAAAAGAATGCCTCGCCCCGAGACTCAGAAACGGTTCAGGTGCCAACCCCGACCCAACGGGACGGAGATCATCTGTGTGGTCGCCACATGAACCAACCCCTTGACAAAGCAGCAACCAACGCGTCGCAACACAACAACAGCTGCCCCTAACAACACACGAGCAGGGGCTACGCAGGGATGCACGTAAATGTCACGAACGACAAAGACCTGTGCCGTGCGGCGGGGTGTGGAGGGGCTTGACGAAGGCTCTCCTCGCAAAGGCTGGCTTGGCCAACCGTCGTCAAAAGGCGGCCGACCGCCGTCGTCCACAGTACTCGCCGGCTACTCCGCCGTCACCACAGTACTCACCACAAGCACCACCACCACCACCATGCGCATGCCCCCTCCCCCCCCCGCCCCCTTCGCGTCCCCGTTCACCCCCATCCTATTTAGGTCGTACATTGGTAGGAAAAAAATACTTCGGCGGTCACGATCATCACCGCAGCCCAAAAACGCCCGCCGCCGCCCGTGCCCCCCGCCTCCGGCCCCCACCCCGGCCCCTGCCGCGAGACTCACCGTCACCACGCTGACCGCGGTCATCTGGTTTCGTGGTGAGAGTGCCGGTCTTGTCCGTGCAGATGACGGTGGTGCAGCCGAGGGTCTCCACGGAGGGCAGCTTTCGGACGATCACGTTACGGTGCGCCATTCGCCGGGTGCCCAGGCTGAGGCGCGCCGTGTGCGTGTGTGTGTGTGTGTGCCACCGCCGCCACAGGATACAAACAACAACAAAAAGAAGAAGAGAGAAAAGAGAGAAGAGACCGACAGCGAGAGCGACAGCAGAGAGAGTGAGAGGGGGGGGGGGGGCAGCGGGAGAGGGAGAGAGAGAGATACAAGAGATAGGGAGGGTGGACGACAAGAGAGCGCAACAACAATAGCGAAAGGCGAAATGGAATCAAGAATCAATGGCACCGGAAAGAGCCACACCCTCAGTGGACAGACGTCACCCCACGGACAACGACAACAACAACAACACAACCCTGTAAAGGAAAGAAGCGCCAATATCGCAGCAGTGCAAACTGTTCCCCGCTGCGACAAAACGACGCACGCTCCGGCCACAGCACCGGCGGACTTAACGAGGCGGTCGTTAGCTGTCGCGCGGGCGTGGGAATAATTTTCCAGATATTTACGTCCGCGGGCAGGCAGGGGTGGCCCTCTGTACCTTGTGCTTCGCGTCGTGGTTGCGCCACAAACCGGATACGCGTGTGTATATTACGGCATCATAAAAACAGATCAAAGACAGAAAAAGAGTACCAAGAGTACCAAGAGCAACAGCACAACAAACGGCGGTGTCGCACCACGCCTGATGCGCGCAACTTATCGGGGCGTGCGTCACTCTACAAGAGAAGGCAGAAGAAAAAAAAACACTTCCATTCACAGCTGCAAAATTCAATCAACACTTACACAGACAGCTGCCGATTAAGCTTGTCAGAAGTGCATACCTGAGGCAGAGGGTGATGACCGCGGGCAACCCTTCGGGGATGGCGGCTACCCCTAGGGCCACGGCCACCTTGGCGTAGTAGACGGCCCCCTTCCAGTACGTGCCGAACATGGGGTCATCGAACCTCGGGATGGAGATGCACCACACCTGGATAGTACAACAGTGGTTTCGTTTTTTCCGAGCATTTTTGGCGGGTCTGCTTGTGTTTGCCACCAGGTCACCGCTCCGAACACCTTGAGCGCTGCCGTTGTTTTTAGCGATCCTGTTGGGTCTAGTCAATGCTCTTCGCAACTTGCCGATGAAGTGCTACTGCGTGGCAACATATGCCCCCCCCCCCCCCCCCCCCCCCCCC